GAAATATAAGCAAAAAGAAAATTAAAATTTATTTCCCCTATAGACTGCATTTTTCGATAAAAAATTATCATAGAGCTTTTGTTCGCAAATGGGATTTTGTATTAACCATTTATTTGCAGGTGTAATTCTGCAACACACATGAGATATAATCAATAACGAAAAATTTGTCCTGGACAGAATTTTTTTCATTGTACAAAAATTAGAACGTTTTTTCCGAAATTTATCCGAAATATAAATAATAAATTATACTTATTTTAATTTTTTATGCAATAATTCTTTCATTACATCTGGTCGGATTTGTATGGAAGTAAAGCGAAAATCTCATTTATCTTTCAAGATACTCTTTAATTTAAAGAGAAACGATAGAATCAGAGAGCCGAATTCACTAGAAATTTACTATGTTTTGCTCCCCTCTGCAAATTTCCTTTTGAAAGCAAACGTACTTTCCACGAGATAAAACTTAATGCGACGAAATAGGTGTATAAATTAAACGTGCACGGATTGCCGGAATCGTGTTGCGTACAAGCCGAAAAATTGTTAACCCAGATTAATTTCAACAACTTATAAATGTACCAATTTTTGCAAAATAAATTCCGTTCCTAAGTATTATTTACCACTCCTCATTTATTCAGGGCAAAGTTAATTCATTACTATCCGGCCGTTGTTAGCCATTTCCATTAAAACTCGAGTGAAATAATAAACGCTTTGTGAAAAAAGGTGCTGTACGGAATTTGTGAAAGAATGTTTCTCTTCTGCATAATGGACCGTACGGTAAAGCACGTTTTTAACAATAATTTTTATATCAAGCGTGCCCCGCGCGTTACTGAAATAAAGAGACCCGCTGGAGAAACTTATTTATTCATAAATACGGACAATGTGAGAATTTAGGTGCGAGGATTTGCAGCGACAAATTCGAAAATCTTGATGACGCAAAGCATATTTCAGGAATGAGTTCGCGAAGCCGGGCCGTAATAGCCCCACATTCATTCAAAAGAGGATTTTATGGACTCTGTACAAAGTACAGCATGCAAATGCGATTATGCCACAACGATATATGAGCGAATCGATCGCCGAGCTTCTATACTCTCGGATGCCCTTTCAAACTGAGAGTAGTTAATTTTCTGCAGATCTAACTCGATCGGCGCTTCTACTCTCTCTCTCTTTCGACAATTTTGCAATTACTATGCGTACTGTTATTGACCGTGTAACTTTCTTACACTTAAATCCCAGTTAAATCGAGTTTGAAACCTATTGCACGTACGGAGATTACGAATTTGGATTACGAATTTGTAAATGTTTTTGATTATCTGATAACGTTTTATTATTTGCAAACGCGTTTTTTCTAAAAAATATTAAAAATTTTCCGCTAAACTAATAAACAATTTATTTTCGACATGTTACAGTTGGCAACGAAATCGGAAATTGACATATTTCGACATAGTACGATGCTTACTGATTGTTTTGGTACCAAATTCATCATGCAAGCAACAAATTCTTGGCGGATAATGAAACTTAAAGTGCGCGAGCGGTCGGGATAAACAATTTGTTTTTCACATGTTAGAGTTAGCAATGAATGCTGGCAGTGAATGCCGTATGTTTTTCACTATACTGTAAATAAACTTGAAAATTCTCATAGATTCAGATTTCCAATGTGCATATAAATTGGGATAAAACATTGTTTATTTGTTCGCAAATAAATTGATATTTGCAAAAAGTCATAACTTACAATCTAAATTTTCATTCGAGCGCTGTAAATATTTCAAGATTGATTTGAAAATATGTTGCTCTTATAAAATATAATCGAGTGATATTTGAAATAGATCGATGTTACTAGCTGCTCAATTTTCCCGATTTATGTCTTCGTTAGGCGAACGTTCGTTACGAATTTTGCGCGTAGGGTTAACGCTGACACCTGCAATTCTCTTCGCGGCGAACACCTCTCGCGCTTTAACGCGCAAACGTGCACGCCGGTTCAATGAATCGGTAATATTTTCGCAGGGCCATTATGCGCAATTATTCCACAATTGCGCCCAATTTCTACCAATGCGCGAAGGCCAGAATGGATATTATGTAACGGTAGAGTAACGGCGCATCGGCCATTAATATTTCGCGCTTGTCATCGAAATTCAATTTCCGCACGGTGGTCGACGCCCGCCAGGAACTCTAATTCAGTGTCTGTGGTCGCGTCAATCAACTATAGCATCGGCCAACTAGCTGGAAATAATTAACGCCTCGCGCACGTTGCAGCTCGTAAACATCTCCATTTCTCAGTACTATCACTTCGATTAGACGATTCCTTTCCGACCATAGATTTCTATCGATTTAAGGTAAACGTTCCAATGTACCTGGACATATGTATATCTCTATATTCAAACGTTCATAACACAAAACTTATTAATTTCAATCCTTTTCTTATTATTTATCAAAATTTAATTGTAAAAATATTTACAGATTACAATTAAGTTATAATATTATAATAAGAAAAACATTTAATGTTAATAATAATAAGTTTTGTATATGTGTCCGGATTTAGGTATATGTGAGATTACAAGGACGATTACTTTACGCACAATCTTTAATTTTTCGGTGAACTCAAATCCGCGAATGTAAACTTCCCCATAATATTGATACAACAATATTTTTCTATCGTTTTAAGCGGCTGTCGAAACACAATCGTCATTAATATGTATAATCGAAAATATGTCATAAGAAGGGCTATAAATATTTCAAAGACTTTAGTCAAAAAATGTTTTACTATAACAAAATTCTAAAAAAATAAAATAAAAATAGATTAGATGAAATTTGAGGAAAATTGCTAATCAATGGGTTTTAAAATTAAAAAGAAATTATTCTCATACATTTTACGGACAACAATATTGGATATCTATCTTGTCGTCTTTCACGAGACAAATAGCGCATTCAAATTGTATGCAATTAACACGTGGTTCTCCGGTAATTACGTACACGTGGTTTTTAATCATTCAGTATAATGTGAGACCGGGGAAATCGATCGTGGCATGGCGAACGGCTTTAATTCAGTGGTTGCACAGTGCAATTATGTCTTTAATTCACGACGATAAAAAGGCGGACACGCTGGGACATTTCGACAAGGCTGAGCGCCAATAACGACCACTCTAACTTTTCGCGAGAACGAGCGAGCGGCGTGTGCTCTGTCGTAAGAAATGCTTTAACGCAAGAACTTCTTTGCAATACGCGATACGATTCTGAATATAAAACCTGATATGAGAGGTCATCCTTTTGTTTCTGCATCGAGTACCGTGTCCTTTCTCCGTACGCTTACGAACAAAAAAACCTACTACCTACTTTCAATATCGATATTTCGTCGAGGTCGCATTAAAAGCGCGATACTATACCCTTCTGCTCATTCAAGTTATTTGTCGAAATATTCGATAAAATATTTGCAGAAAAGGAAATAAATACTGCGACGCAAACTGCGTTACTCGTAAATTATGTTGTTTTCTTGCATCCCACCCGTAGGTATCCAATTTCCCAGCGAATGCCGGAACGTTCAATCCGTAAGAAACTGAGTTCGACGTAATATACGTGCCAGCGGGATAGGTATGCGGAAAATTTTAATACTACATTCGGCTTACTAACTCAGAGAGGGGGGGCACAGACCCACGATTTATGCCTACGCCAGAGAAATAGTAGTAGCTATAATAAACGTCGTATATGATTGCATTCGGCATTCGCAATCGCAAACTGTATTCGTTCTCGCATTCGATAGACATACTAATAATTTATATAAAATATTCATCCATTCTTCAGACTTGTGCCTTTCAGATTTCACATCATTTTATTTAATTGATATAAGAGTATGTTATCGAAAGTTTTAAATGGATGAGCTAATTAAATAGCCAATTTATCTTTATTAAAAGATAAAATAAAACGGCGCGTTAAAAGAATAAAATTAAGAAAAATGGACGTTTCTATTATTAAACTGAGATAGAACATGTTGGGACTGGAAATATTTTATGTTTTCTTTTTACCCATACTTCGATGGATACATATATTGTATATCTGAATATTTCTTTCTCGCATTTATATAATATTTAATACCGGAAATGGAAAAAATATGTAAAGAGGTCACGAATGTAGACTTTTCAGAGAAACGCAGATCAAATTTTATGTGGAGAGATAGGCAAAAATAAATACAAAGGTGGAAGAGAGAAAATAAAAAAAAAAGATATCTATTAAATATATTAACCATGAATATTAATAATTTTTCCTTATTTTATAAATATAAATATACAGTTACTTTTTATTTTATCAATTTAATGCATTTGTTACATAAATATGCTTCCACAGTTTGCATCAATCGAGAAAAACTATGAGAAAATTGAAATAAAAACCGTAGTTTAAATTTCGAGAATTTAACCAATTATTCATACTATAAAATTATCCAAACAGTCATCGTTTTCAATGGCATTTACTGAAAATTTTGTCTATGTATACTGGTAAAAGATGTAATAATTAATATTTCTTTAGATTTGTAAACAATTTCTTTTTTACGAAAATCAATCCATCATCGTCTATCATTTCTTCACTGAGCTTACTTTATCAGTAAAATTTTCACTATCATTTTTTTGTGAGTTTAAAATTACTTATAAATTTCAGGCAATTGATATTTCGCAATTAATATTCCGTCGACAAAACACATAATGCGTGCCAATAAATGATATAAAACGATATAACGAGCTCTATTCGTGAATATTGTCGTATGCATAATAAATCGACAGATAATTGCAGGTACTTCAGAATTAAATACTGACTCTAATCTGGCCTAACTCATCCATTTAAAATCAACAAATCTATGAAATGTCACATATAATGTTACACAAATAATATTTTAATACTGTACTAAATTTAACGTATATTTATCTAAATACGTCATATATGTATGTCTAATATAATAGATAATTTTCATAGATCCGTTATCTCAATTTAAAATAAAATGTAAATTATAATGCATGACTCACTTGTAGGAAGCCCAACAGCGAAGTTGAATATGTAAGTTGCAAATTACATTGAGCTGTAAAATACAAATATTTTAAATTATTACAAATACCTACAAAATATAATTGTTATTAAAGATACATTATTTCATTTTTATATAAAATGTTTTCTTTCCCTCAAATAAATATACATATATTAAAATAATTAATAATTAAAAAAAAATCTTTTTTCTTAATTATAGAGTTGTCTCAAATTTCATAAATAAATCTTAATTGTTATACAAATAATTAAAATTTTTAATATATTCGCTATTATTAAAAACATATAATACATATATAACGAATATACTATATGTATATACGTAGCTATCTCTTATTGTCTTGAACGCGACTCAGGTTCGTGGGAGAGACGACACGGCACAAAGAAAAGAGAGACTTTGCTGAGAGGACGAAACACGTATATTTAAGAACGAAAAGGCGTACAGAAAATTTACAAGTAGTGCACTCCCGCAACTGTTCGAAGGTGTCGACGCGATGTAATTTCTACAATCGGGTAAACCGCGCTAGCGCCAAACGAT